AGCCTCTGATGGGCTGCTTTCCCCAATCGGACTGATTGTGAGCCACTACTTCATTTACATAGGGTGTACACAAGTAACCAATGGGAAAACTCTAGAGGGTATTTAAACTCCAGAATTCTGTAAAGGGGCCCTTGAGCTCCTATGCTCCAGCCAGCTCCCACACTGTGGAGTATACTTTCATTTTCAATAAATCTCTGCTTTTGTTGCTTCATTCTTTCCTTGCTTTGTTTGTGCATTTTATTCAACTCTCTGTTCAAGGTGCCAAAAACCTGGACACCCTCCACCAGTAACACTCTCATTCAGCTCTGAGACAGTCACACAGCGACAGGCAGCATGGAAGTGGTTAAGAGGAGAGAGGATGGCAGAGGCTGAAAGAATATTCACTGTGAATGTGGAAATTTCCCAGATGGTGCCAAGGGAGCAGCAGGCCAGCTGCATATAAAACAGAAGCTACTCAGGGGACCCCAGGTTCAACCCCAGCACTTTCACATGCCAGCTTGTGTGATCTTGGGCACCAAATCTCACTTTCTTTTTTTTGTTTTGAGACAGTCTCGCTCTGTCACCAAGCTGGAGGGGTGCAGTGGTGTGATCTCGACTCAGTGCAACCTCTGCTTCCTGGGTTCAAGCTATTCTCCCGCCTCAACCTCCCCAGTAGCTGGGACTACAGGTGTGCGCCACCACGTCCAGACAATTTTTTTGTATTTTTAGTAAAGATGGGGTTTCACCATGTTAGCCAGGATGATCTTGATTTTTCGACCTTGTGATCTGCCCACGTTGGCCTCCCAAAGTGCTGGGATTACAGGCGTGAGACACAGCGCCCAGCCCCAAATCTCACTTTCTACACCAAGAAAGAAGGCATGCCCTCATCCAAGCATTCCTTTATTCATGCAGCAAATACTCTGCTGGCTGTTGGAAAGACAATGTCATGGGAAAAGGTTCATGAGCATTTGACATTGAACCTGACATCCCGATTCTAAATTATGTACACCCCAGTTATTCCTGTGTTTATCCTGGATGGTATTTATTCTTCACAATCTGTGATCAAATATTTACTTGTGGTTTATAAGCTTAACATCCGACTCTGTTGTAGACTCTGAGGGGAGTGCTAATGCTGTTCTATTCCCTGCTAGTACAGGGCCTGGCTCACACTTGGTATTCAATATATCTCCGATGAGTAAGCAGCACAGGCCTGGTTGTGATGGCAACTTTTCCAGTAATTAGGATAACAATGGTACCCTTTCTGTTACTATAGAAATTAGATAAATTAAATTTATCACAGCAAAAAAGATAACCAGAAAGGATACAGTCAGGCAAATAGCCTTGGCCAACTAACCATCACATGAGGCTCATGGATCAGCCAGGAACAGAACTGGACAGAGAGTAACTCAGACCACTGAGGGACATCCACCAGCTATTCCAGAGAACAACAGGTGGGCAGCCTGGAAGGCACCAGTGAAATGAAAGGTGGATTCATCCCATTACTCTCGGGATAAAGATCAAAATCCTTCAGATAGGCCTGGGTCTCCTGACATCTCTGGCCGCACCTCTGGCTCCCTCCCTGTGCTCCCTTACATCAGCCTTCTTTTTGGCATCCAGAAAGTATCCCAATGCTTTCTGCCACAGAGCCTTTGCACAAACTGACCTCTGCCTGGCATGCTCTTCCCTTCTACTTCTGCTCTTCATTCCCAACCTGCTGCTCCTAATAACTTCTACACATATTTTCGGTCTAAGCTCAAATCTTATCTTCTCTAGGAACCTGTCCATGACCCATCAGATTAGATAGAGCCCCATATTAAATGTTCTGACAGCCCCATGACTTCTCCCTCAGCCTTTATCACAACATGTAATTATATTTAACAGTTTGACTAATGTTATTTTCCCTGAGGGGGCTATAAATCATCTCCCCAGCCATGCAGAGTAAGTGCTTCAAAGACACTGTTGAATGAATGAGTGAATAGATGAATTCATGTATTTATTATTTATTTTCCTTTTTTTTAGAGACAGGGTCTTCCTAAATTGCCTAAACTGGTCTTGAACTCTTGGGCTCAAGGGATCCTCCTGCCTCAGCCTCCCAACGTACTAGGATTATGCCTAGCCAAATTCATTCATTTATTTTTATTGACTGATCGATTGAGGTGGAGTCTTGCTCTGTTACCCAGGTTGGAGTGCAGTGGCACAATCTTGGCTCACTGCAACCTCTGCCTCCTGGGTTCAAGCGATTCTTCTTTCTCAGCCTCCCAAGTAGCTGGGATTACACACGTGCGCCACCACGCCTGGCTAATTTTTGTATTTTTGATAGAGACAGTGTTTCACCACGTTGGCCAGGCTGGTTAGGAACTCCTGATCCCATCCATGGGATCCACCTGCCTCAGCCTCCCAAAGTGCTAGGATAATAGGCGTGAGTCACCGTGCCCGGCCCAAATTCATATATTTATTGACACACATTGTTGCATATTATTGTATGGCAGGCATGTGGTTTCCATTGCAGAGGACAAAAAGTTAAACAGAAATAGTCTTGGCACTCAAAAAGGTTAACATACAGTAGGTTCTGGAAGATGAACACACGGCAACATGTAATAAATGTCACAAGGGGCTTTCAAAGAAAATCCAGAGGGAATCCAAAGCTTCATACGTAAACAGCAGGGCCTGGACTAGATGACCGCATGATCCTTCTAACAGGGCCACAGTTCTCTGATCCTCTGGCCAGAGAAGCTCTCATGGAGACAAAGATGATCCAAGGTTATCACTAGGTGATCAGGGAAGTGGGGGTCTTGTTAGCAATAATGAGGAGACAGAAGACTAAGACAGCTCATTGATTGTTCCAGGAATTAATTATTGCTTTCTGATTCTGGGCACCTGCACTTAATTCCCTCTGTTAGACTTATTTTAGAACAGCTCTCCACTGCCTGGCTCTGATCAATTAGCAATGCCGATTCTCTGTCATTTACTAGCTGCCTCTGCCACTCACAGATGACCCATGCTTGCTTCAAGCCACTAGCTTCAGTGATAAAGAAGAGATAAATGAATCCAGAACGGGGAAAAAAAGAACTGTAAACTTCAGGTTTAGGTAACATCTGACAAACTGCTATGTACCAGATATTGTACTAGAAACAAATATAGGTTTCTGGGTTTAGAATGTTCTCTACACACTTTGACAGCTCAGTATTGACTCAGCTGCCTACTATTCCCAGGTGTCTGTCCAAGCCAGGCTGTCCCATTCCTGATATTGGTCATATCTATTTCCTTAAAGGGAGAGTTACAAATTAAAGAGAGCATTTACAATAAATCCATACCTAAAGGACACTTTATTCCTCACTTAAGTAGAATTTATAAAGAAAACTTTTGTGTTGAAAACAACAACTTCTCAATTTATCTATTCTCTACCATCTTGAAAACCCAATTCCACAAATACAGAAGAGAAAAAAATATAAATCCAAGGAGAAAAACTCACCTCGGCTATAGAGTGGGCTACTGCTCAGCGGTGGTGGGACGGCAGGGTTGGGTTTCTGTGCCTTGGGCTGCACTATGATTTGGTAGCCCTGCATGAGACGTTGGCAAATAAACTCTTCAAACACCTGCTGGGCTGTCATCTGCACACCCTCTTCATCCCTCCTAAAAAAACAGATGATTGCTCATACAGATACTTGGCCCAGGACAGTGACACTTAAGAGTGCACAGTTCCATCATCTCCTTTGCTTTATCCCATTATAACCATTCTATGGTGGTTCATAAAACTAAGAGTTTGAACTGGGTGCAGTGGCTCATGTCTGTAATCCTAGCACTCTGGAAGGCTGAGATGGGCAGATTGCTTGAGTCCAGAAATTCAAGACCGGCCTGGGCAACATGGCAAAACCCTGTCTCTACCAAAAAAATACAAAAATTAGCCAAGTATGGTAGCACCCACTTGTAGTCCCAGCTACTCAGAAGTCTGAGGTCAGAGGATTATTTGAGCCTGGAAGGCAGAGGTTGCTATGAGCCAAGATGGCACCACTGCACTTCAATCTGAGTGACAATATATAAAAGAAAGACAGAAAAGGAAATA